ACCGCACTAAAGATTGCACATCAAATAAGAAGGACCCAACAACAAAAAAATGCGGACATTGTGGAGGTAACCACACCGCTAATTATAAAGGATGTGTAGAATATACTACCGAAAAACAAAGAATGTTGCCAACATTGCATCCCCACTCTCAGTCAGTAATCCCACCACAACCTATTCAAACGCGATCTCAGCCAAGTGCTCCATCCGACTCCAACAATACGTGTACACGAATGTCATATGCAAACGCTTTTAGAGGATTCACTGGCCTAAGCGTCCAAAATGAAAGCTCTACTAAACCATCTCAAAATATCGAAAACATGATCCAACTGTTTATGGAAAATATGACACAATTTATGAACACCATGCAAAATATGATGCAGGGAATGATTCAAAATTAAAATATCCTACTTTCAATAATATCCAAACCATGAATGCAATCAAAATTTACTTCTGGAATGCTAACGGTTTAAGCCAACATAAAAACGAACTTGTGTTTTTTTACAATCACATCAAATTCAGGTCATGCTTATCTCAGAAACCCATTTTAATAAGAAAAGCTACTTTAAGCTACTCTACGGCTCGAAACACCCCAGTGGACGAGCAAGAGGCGGATCTGCTATCCTCATAAAAAATAACATTAAACATTTCCCAACTCACAACCTTGAAGCAGAATATATGCAGGCGACAAGCATATGTATAGAAGAGTACATTAAAGATCTGACTATAACCTCAATTTATTTTCCACCAAGGTATAAAATAACAGAACTTCAATTCGAAGAATATTTTACAAAGCTTAGACTCAACTTCATAGCGGCCGACGACTTCAATGCCAAAAACTTAATGGGGCTCAAGACTTATATCACCAAAAGGAAAATCCCTGAGAACGTGATATCATAACACGACCTTAACATATCCTCCACTGGCACACCAACATACTGGCCCTCAGATCGGAAAAAAACTCCAGACGTCATTGATTTTGCGATAACAAAGATTAGTCATCGCTTCTAATTTGACAGGCACGAGTTCTAAGCCTGACACTTGCAGTCCAAACAAATTATATACGGACTATAAACTAATTAAATAAAATTCGATTATTTCCAAAGACCACTGATAAAGAGTACTTGGCAATACTCGAAACAGCGTTGTATGGTCAGCCAAACTTCAATAAAATTAAAATAAATTTTTGTGTTTGTCCTTTATTTCTTTCTTTGTTATTCAAAAACCCCTCTAAATTTTAATAAACCTTCTTTGTCACTATACAAAGAAAGTCTAGCTTTACAGCAACATGAATACCTTATTCGGTAACAAAGAATTTAAAAAAAGAACAAATTGCTACCGGGGCATCCTTAGAACTGTTCTCTGATCACACGCGACTTTTATTCTGATTAGAAACACAACAATAGTCAATCCAAAATCTTAAGAAAAGCTCACAAACCAGCACACAAATTGGCTAAAATTTAAAAAATATATTAGCTCACATATTAACACCGAAACTTCCCTAAAATCAAATATTGAAATTGACAAGGCGGTCCAGGACTTCACAGCTTTACTTCAACCAGCCGCTTGAATATCAACCCCACTTCCAATATCCCACAAACCTATAAACTACCATACATCGAACGAAATTGTAACCCTTATACAAGAGAAACGACAAGTACGACGCCAATGGCAACAACAAAGATCTCCCCGAATTAAAAGACACCTTAACAATCTGACGAGAGCACTTCAGAGATTACTCAAAGAAAAAAATCGCATAGAATACGAAAATTTTATTTTGCAGTTGTCTCCAACGCAAACAACAAACTACTCTCCAACGCAAACAACAAACTACTCCCTTTGAAAAGCCACTAAACTCAAGAAAAAGCCCGTTATACACAGAGCACCCCTCCAACTCACAGATGGAAACTGGCCTAAAAGCGATGAGGAAAAGAGTGCTGCTTTTGCAAATCACCTTAAATATGTATTTACCCCAATCTCTTACTTTAACAAAACTTGACTCTCTGCCTTACTCCACACGAAACAACAATATGGCAATTTGCTTCAGGAAAAACTACTAAAAAGCGATATCAAAAATTTAAATACCAAAAAAGCCCCAGGCTACGACCTAATTACAGCGAATATTCTGAAAGAGATCCCACAAATCGCCAAAGATCAACTACTTTTTATTTATAACGCTATTTTAGGGACTGCATATTTTCCAAATGAGTGAAAGCTATCCAAATTTTGATGATACCCAAGTCCCGAAAGGACCCCGCTCAAGTCACCTCATATCGACCCATAAGTCTACTTCCAATTCTCTCAAAATTATTCGAAAAACTTTTTATAAAACAATTGATGCCCTACATAAGTAAGAAAATAAGTAAGATTTAGAGAAAAACACAACACAATAGAACAAGTACACCGCATAGTACGAGTAATTAAGGAAACGTTTGAGAAGAGGCAGTATTGTTCAAGCGTCTTTCTAGACATAACCCAAGTCTTTGACAAGGTTTGCACGAAGTATTGTTTTGGAAACTTGAGAAACACTTACCACACAATATATCCTTAGTTATTAAAAACTACCTCTCATATAGAAGATTTGTTATAAAACAAAATTCTTTTGTCTCCAATGCCTTCCCCATTGTGGCCGGTGTACGCCAAGGTAGTGTACTGGGCCCCTTGCTATACCTGATTTTCACAGCAGACATGCCAACCAGTGACTGTACAATAACATCAACATTTGCGGACGACTCTGCCATTCTCAGTCATAGCGACGACCCATTCATAGCCACAAAATCAGTTCAAGACCACCTCAACAAACTTAACTTTCACTCTACGACGAGATACTTGCCCTGCCCTTCGTATTAATGGAAAAGTAATACCACAATGCAATGACACAAAATACTTAAGAATGTACGTCGACTGAAGGCTTACGTGGAAAAAGCATATAGAAACCAAAGTAACCCAAATTAAACTCAAACAACAAGAACTAAACTGGTTGATAAACAAAAATTCTAAACTTAATCTTACCTATAAAGTGCAACTTTACAATACAATGATAAAACCCATATGGACCTACTTAAATGAACTCTGGAGCTCTGCTTCTCCATCAAACATTGAAAAACTCCGAAGAACTCAATCAAAAATTTTCCGGCAAATAGTTGGTGCCCCCTGGTATATAAAAATCGCAAATATTCATAGAGATCTTCGAATTGACACAGTCACAGATGTAATTGTCAGCAACACACAAAATTATAAAATCAAACTCAGGAACCACCAAAATCCATTTGCAAGCAATCTTACCCAAGGAGCTGGTATTCAGCAACTCAAAAGAAACTATATAAACCCGGCTATTCAAGAATAACGCCGGACATGGTAACAAAATTGGACGAAACTTTGGCTTAGGACAATTAATTATTTATTTTCCTTTTCTTCAAATATTTTAATACAGCAATTAGCAGCGATAATTTATTGTTAGTTCTAAGTTGATTTTTAGAAGATTCAATAAAAAGCAAAATAAAATTAAAAAAAAAAAAAATTTTTTTTTCTTAGCCGTTACTCTATTCTACAAGAGTTTTGATTAGCTTACTTTAGTAAGCTAGTCTATATTATGAAAACATTATAAATATTTTAGACAGCTCTGAGGTAGAATGGATATTTTAAACGGCTCTGAGGTAGAATGAGTAAAAGTAGCAGAATATATAAAAAATTGTGTGGCATATGAATATTATATAAAATCAGAATATAAAACTTAATAATAATAATAAATATATATTTTATTGCTTATCTATTATTTATATCTATTATTATATAGCTTATTATATTATTTATTTTATTATTTATATATATTAGTTTACCATTACACTCACTATTATACAATTATTTATACAACTCTACTCTATTATATATCATACTATATTATTATACTAATATTATATTCACTATTATACTATTATGCATTATTCAGTAAGTCGACTGACGACATTGGTCACAGTCGCTATTTTGATTATATATTATTATATAATCAATTATATATATTAATTTAAGATTCACTAAATATACTGTAAAAATGATATTTTAAAATGAAAATAAATATGCATTCATATATACTTATTTTATGTGAGAACGATATGTATAGTTAAATTTATAGTATAAACTTTTATATTTATACCACAAACTTTAGTGCATTGTCGCAGTAAATGGTTTAACATATTTTTCGAATGTTCCAAGACCCTTATATTGGCAGCTTGTTATGAATTTAAACCACGACCAACTTGTTTGTTGGCTTGATTCAAACTGAATTTAAACCAAACCAAGCCAATTATGCTGAGATTTACATTCTTAAGATAAGTGTGGTGGTGTTTGTCATATCTAAGTTGATTCCTATAAGAGGAACCATAAGCGCAACATTATTCATGAAGTAAACAAAGAAAGCAGTGTGCTGCTTGACTATAGTGATCATAGTTGAATCAGTATAAATAGAAAGTTACCATCAATGCACTTGCAATAGTGTAAACAGGAAGCATTACGTTGTGTGTGGGATAAATTCCTAAACAAAAACTATGATATTGCGCTTTGTCTTTTATTTGCCTTTATACAAAGTAAGACAAAACTTAATTTTGAACTAGTTCAAAGCATACGACGCAAAACAGCTAAAATCCTATGTTTTTTAGTGGATACAATATAGTCCGCAGTAATCTATCCCAGCATTAATAAATGGTCTAGCTGAATTCGCTTGCACTTCTAAAAGATTACCTGTGATCTAGTGGCTCAACTGTTCTATTTAACCGTTACGTTTGAAGTATTTAATTATTTTTGTAGCAATAAAATACAATTATGACCCTAATTAGTATTCAATATAATATAATTAAACAAATAAGTTTTTAAAAGATTCTTAAAATATTAATTTATTTACAGTTGCTTGAAACTTGTGTTTTGTATAATGATTTTGATGCCCAGCCATAGAAGATGACAACAATATAATATCGATAAATCGTAATATATCAATAAATATATCAGAAATGCTTATATCAGAAACTAATAACTTAGCATTGAAATCTACTACATCTGCTGTAGAATTGTCAAATGACACCAACAACTTGTTATGTGGTCAAGCACCTGAAAATATATGTGGTGATATTTTTCAACGAAGAATAGCAACTTTAAACGAAACATCTGTTACTCCTCAATCAAATAATATAACTCATTTTTTGTCCAATAATATTGGTTCCTGTCGATCTGATGAAAATACTATTAATAGTTTTATGCAAACTACTTCTATAGAGCAATACAAATTACAGCTCTATAACTATGCAGTCAATATTGAACGACTACGTAATCCACATTATTCTACTACAGCAGCAATAACTGCAGCAGCCTATGCTAACAGAAACGCTTCTCTTGCAAATAATATATATAGAAATACATATAACCCAGGTGGACAATTAACTTTATCAATATTTCCACCAGATATTTTACAATCAGAAGAACCTAAGCCGCAGCAAAGCTATATTGGGTTAATTGCTATGGCAATACTTAACTCATCAGAATTGAAATTAGTATTGTCAGATATATATCAATACATTTTGAATAACTACCCATATTTCCGAACACGTGGTCCTGGCTGGCGCAATTCAATTCGGCATAATCTGTCGTTAAATGACTGCTTTATAAAGTCAGGAAGAAGCGCAAATGGCAAAGGACATTACTGGTCTATACATCCTGCTAACGTGGAAGACTTTCGTAAAGGTGACTTTCGTCGAAGAAAAGCTCAGAGAAAAGTGAGAAAACATATGGGTAAGCAAAATAATTTAAAGATTGAATGCATATACTAACAACAATTAAATAAATAAATATAATATAGGAAAAGGTACACACTAACCACTGCTTAACTATCATACAATATAGGTATGGACATGAAGTATATATATTTTATATTTATGTAAGATTATTGTAAACTGTAAGTTAAATTTTAAAGACTACTACTATAGTTAAATTTTGAAAACTAATAGCGCAATTCTAGTAACTGTATTACAGCTCGCCACAGTCTATTAAAGCACAAAAATCTTCTGAAAGATGTTTTGCAAGATGTTTCGTATTCAGTCAGCTGTTTTGAAAAGTATTTTCTCTATTTTTAAAGACGAAATGAAAGATATGCTAGTGAGCATGTCTTTCGATTGTCAGGTAAAATTTTGTGTGTGTTTTCCGTCTATGAAACTTGCTTTATATAATAAAAAAATCCCATACGTTAAACATTAAATAAAACTCATTAGCTTTGTAGACTGCTAATTTTTATTTACATAATATTGTTCACCAGAGTGAGGTAAAAAACGATAGGTGATTGAGCTTAAAATTTTTCAGTATTTGCACAGAAAAACAAAAAGCTCTTTACTTTATAAAAATCTTGATTAATAATCAATATTTGTTAAACGACCAAGTTTCCAGAATTAATCCGTAAGTCGCAATATCTATTTCTTGTAGCACCCACACATTCTTTTCGTTTCAGTTCGAATAATATACCGTAATTTATTTATCATGTGGGTACATTTATTTTCTTTTTATTTTCTTTCTCAATTTTTACTTAAATTGATTTTTGTTTTCTAATTTATTTTAACCAAAGACACAAGAACGAAGTTCAAATAAATAAAATTAACAGTTATTCTTAAAAAAAAATAATTTTGGGAATCTTAAAAAACTAACATGTATGCTATTGAGCTAGGGTATTGATATCTATCCATGATTTTCTTCTAAGGCGATTTGGTGCAGTTGTAGAAGATATATATCGAACATGAGGATTTGGATGCGACTTGAGTTTCTCTGGAAATTTAGGTGTATATTGGTGAATAACTTCTTCAACAGTTGGTAAATTTAGATGTCTGTGAAGGTTTTTCTTTTTGACATACCACGGAACGATCGTAATATGTTTGAGAATTTTATTTTGTATACTCTCGATTTTTTCTATGATTGTGTTACACGCTGCACACCACAGTTCTATACCATAGTTCCAAATTGGCTTTAGTATTCATTTGTAAATTAACAATTTGTTATCGATAGTTAGTTTAGAGTTGCGATTTAGAAACTAGTACAGTTCCTTATATTTAAGATTTAATTGGCACCATTTGGCTTCAATATGTCTTGTCTACGTCAGTCTTCTATCTAGATGATTTTCCAGATATTTCACGAAATGTGATTGAGCTATGAGCTATGTTGATTTTAACTGCCGGGTATGTTTCTCTCCTTAGAGTAAAAGTTACTTGAGCGCACTTAGTTTCATTCACCTAGATTTTCCATTATACAAGCCACTTTTCAATCAATCCAAGATGTCTGGATAAATTTAGTGATGCTATAGTACAGTTACTGTTGGTACTAACTTAAGCAGTGCCGTCAGCAAATTGTTAAGGTATTTTGGAATGTCACCTGTGTAGGTTAAGTATAGAAAGGAGACTACCCTGAGGAACTCCAACGTTAATATCCTACTCTTGCGAAGTAAAAGATTTGTGTCTAGCCCTATATTTTCGGTGAAAGCAGAAAAAATCTACGTTCACTTCTTAATATTTAGATTTACCATTAATTAGAATTCGCTTAATTAAATTATATTTAATTATCAGTTGACTTCCTAAAGAGTTTAAGAATTAACCATTTAAAAATATTTTTGGACATAAACAGTAAACTTTTACAATAACAAATAACAGACGTGAAATTTGTGTTAGTAAGTGACAAATAAGTATTATACCCGAGTTGCAAGAAAGAAGCCATACATAACCAGATATAATATAATAAAATGATTAAGTTTTGCAAGAGAGTATGTAAATAAACATATAGAGTTCTGAAAAAGAGTTATTTTTTCAGATAAGAGTAAATTTTGCATTTATATGGAGAAAATTACGTACAGCCTGTGATAAACAAAACTTAATTTCAATGGTGAAATATGGTGGTGGAGGCGTGATGGTTTGGGAGTGTATTGCAATTAATGGTGACGATAAACTTAAATTTGTACAAGATACAATCGACAAATATGGGGATCTAAATATATTACAAAGAAAATTTGAATGAAAGTGCCAGAATGTTAGGGCTTAAAGCAAATTTTTTGTTTCAGCAGGACAATAACTCTAAGCATACAGCAGCAATCGTACGGTATTGACTGCTTTACCATACTCCCAGACAACTTGAACCCTACCACAAACACCAAGTCTCAATACCATAAAACATCTGTGGGATTATTTGGAAAAGAAGATTCACCAATACAAGTTTTCCAGCAAGGATATGTTAAGAAACGTCATCAAGGAAAAATGAAAGCTGATTGACTCCATGCAAAGATGCCTAAAAGAAGTTATTAAACGAAGAGGTTATCCCACAGGCTAGTTAACGCAGACGTTTTCTGCTTCAAAAATTCTTGATTTTGTTGTTGTTTTAAACAATTAACAATTAACAATTAATTTTTTATTTTTGAACTTCATTGTTGTTTGGTAAAATAAATCAGAAAACAAAAACCAATTTGAGTAAAAATCAAAAAAGTTATGCGAAATTAAGGAAAAACTTTGTGAGTGAACGCTGACTTTTTCTGCTATGTGTATGTTATATCAGAAACTACTTTGTTGATCTTGCTATACGAATTGCGTACTGTGAGGTAATTTATGCGTGTACTTTAGTTATGGCTTTCAATTATGTGGGTCGATCGATACACGCGTTGTTTTGCGTAAATGAAAATGATGATGTTAGAATATGTTCCTTTGTCATTATGGAATCATCTGAGTTTTAATTCATGCATCCTTCTTGGTCTTTGGCGTGGTTTTTGCTTTTCTTGAAGAGGTATTCTTAATTTTTTGATTCTATTGATTAGTGTGGAATATGTTCTTAGAAATAGCACTGATCGTGTTTGGTGAATTGAGGGTGCTTCTCATGGATTATTAGTAAGCAATCGTGGCTGATAATTATCTGTCGGCTATTGCACCTGTAGTTGCACATATTCTGACTTTTTCTATGTTGTAGTTGATGCTGATTGTGGGTACTTCTTTATCAATTGTTGTCGTACTCCATTTTCGATCTTTTTGACTGGACATGTCATCCAGTTTTAAGAAATTTGATTTTAAATTTAACATACTCATGTCATGTGTTCTAATAATCGAATATGAAATTACCAAGCGCATATTGATATAACCCAAAATTTGAAAGTGTTTGTCACAAAAGAATTGTTTTATTTTCTTTCTTTTTATTAATGCAACTAGTAAATATACTTACAACTAACAAACATTTTTAGTTTAATAAATTAAAAATATTTACGCTAGGTTTTATTACTTAAGCGCGGTGCAGACTATCATACTGGTGTGTCATACGAGTTGTGCTCTCTCTTTCTCAAATTTCTCCTAGCGACCGAATTTGAACAGGTATGACACACAAGAGTCGTCATTTAGGCAAAATTTTTTAAGAGTGCTTTTTAATTGATTATAATTTTGTATATCTTATATATGCCGCGTCTTTTTTTTGCGATCTTAATATTCACAGCTTTGGACATCCCACAAACAGCTATTACTTTTGTTAACATTCGATGAGAGCATCTAAAAATGCTTTATCTGCATCCATATTCATATTTTTTTTAGGTTTATTGGTCATTAAGCAAAGTAGTTAAAATGAAAACATCAGTAAAGGACCGTAGTTAATTTCATTCACTACCTGCAAAGTTTCTTAAGAAATTTTTCATAAATAGATCATGTATATATTGTAACGCCACGGATTCGTCGTTTTAATTTTGCTGAGGTATTACTCAGTCGCGGTCTGGGTCGTTGCAATAAATTTGTTTTATTGACCTGTTCGAAGCTGGTAAACCAAGGAAAGTTAAAGACCGTTTGTTTTTATTTTAAAATTTATTTATTAAAAGTTTTCTTAAATAATTTACTCTAGTCTTGATTCTACTCAATAATTAAGCTTGACTCTACTCAATAAGTTTTACCCAAAGACGTCAGAACATCAAAGGGTTTTTTTCAAATCTACGCAATTAGTTTCTAGCCAAAGACGTCAAAACATCAAAGGCGTTATAAAATCTATTCAATAAGTTTTATCCAAAGACGTCAGAACATCAAAGGGTTTTTTCCAAATCTACGCCATTAGTTTCTAGCCAAAGACGTCAAAACATCAAAGGCGTTATAAAATCTACTTAATACCTTTTACTGATTTATTTAGCCTTAACGTCGAAACACTATAGGCTTCTAAAAGGGACTTAGCGCTGGAGTAGTAGTCTACTCACTTCGGTGTGCCGGTGCTAAGTGATCTTTCATATAAAATCTCCGCTATTTATATACGACACTTTGCTTTGCTTAAATGCACGCACAACCGCACAAGTGTAATTCGCTGTCAGCTTTGTTATGCTTGTCGTGTGTGCGTATGTTCGCGGTTGGCTTTGTTTTGCTTGTCGTGTGTGCGTGTGTTCGCGGTTGGCTTTGTTTTGCGTGTCGTTTGTGCGTATGTTCGCGGTTGGCTTTGTTTATTTGTTTAAATATATAAATCGAGTTTTATCCAGACGATTTTTAGTAAAAAATAATAATTATGTAGGGCGGAAATTTGTACAAAATTCCGTCCTTACATTTCTCTCCTTCTTCGGGGAATTTGAACTGGACTACTTCGTTGAATGGTTTCGTGTCCGCTTTCTAGGATTCCTAAAAATTTTGAGGAATTCATCTTGATGTGTACTGGTGTAATCATAATCCTGCTCACGTGGTACATCTGGACTCTGACTTTTCGACTCTGTGATGAGTTTTAAACTTCGCTGACGCGGTACATGTGCACTCAGACTTTTCGACTCTGTGATGAGTTTTGAACTTCGCTGACGCGGTATATCTGG